TTCCCTTCAATATCATGTAATACACTGTAGAATGGTAAAAGTATTACTGGAAATAACCTACTGAAGAACCACATGCCATTGTTTTTTACCTTTTCTTTTTGAGACAGGGTCTTGCTAACTTTGCCTGGGCTGGCCCTGAACTTGTACTTGTAATCCTTCCAAGTAGCAGTATGTGCCACCACGCCAAGCCTGTATGACTATTTTTCACACCAAGTCTTGGATTTTATATATTCTCTCAAGATACAAAGAATTACTTACCAATGTGTACACACGTGTGCGCACACACATAATAAAATATATATAAGAAACAGATGGCACACCTGAAAAATATGATTACATCTCATGACACTAAGAGATTAATATTTGAGTAGCCATTTAATTATAAATAGCTTTCTTATAGCTGCGCAACATTCTTTAGTGTCTATAAGGAGAGTAAAATCAAGAGTGGGTACTTGTCACTAAAACCACATATCTAGTAGCACTATCTAAGCAGCTTTAAGATGAACGGTAGGTGATTTATTTATGTTGACATCATGTACATTTTCATGTCTTTTTTGAATTCAGGATCTCACAGGTACTAGACATATGTCTTAGCCACATCTCCAGCCGTTTTAGAATTTAAAAAAAAACCAAAGATGGTATCAAATGTCCACTGGCAATGTTAATAAACTTATTTATCTGGAAGTAGTATATAAATTATAACACTATAAATCCTTGTTTGCAACTATACTTAAAACCCACCAAATCAAAGTAACCCAATGATAGAAACATAGTGTATAATTAGTCTAAGTTCACTCTTTAGTTTGTTCAGGACTTCTTCAAAGCTATTATTTTACTTATTGATTTGTATGAACTGGCCAAGTATTTTAGTTCACACTTTCTTCAACTTGTCATATAAGACCCATATGGTCTCACCAGATAGTGGTACAATAATCATATTAAAAAGTCTCAACACAGGTAATTTTAGAGATTATCTAGTTCAATTCTCTCATTTTGATCTCCTTCAATATTATTAGGGAACCTCAAGTCTTTTTTTTTTTTTTGGGTCTGGTCGTGGGTCTGAACTCTGGGCTTGGGCGCTGTCCCTCAGCTCTTCAGCTCAAGGCTAGCGTTCTACCACTTGAGCCACAGCTGGCTTTTTTCTTTTTGCTTATGTAGTGCTGGGGAATTGAACCCAGGGCCTCAGGCATGCAAGGCAAGCACTCTACCACTGAGCCACCCACCTTCCCAGCCCCGGAACCTCAAGTCTTAACTGATCCTATAAACAATTCATGAAACTGGCTCTCAGGACCCAAATTCCTTTTTATTTTTTTGTCTTATCAATTGTGGGACTTGAACTCAGGGCCTGGGTTGTCCCTGAGCCTCTTCATACTCAAGGGTGGTAGTGTTCTACCACTTGAGCCACAGCCCCACTTCCGGTTTTTGAGGGGTTAATTGTTTTCTGCCTGGGCTGACTTGGAAAAGTGATTCTCAGGTCTCAGCCTCCAAATTCTATGCATGGGTTGGATTTATGGCAGGCCCATCCCCCTGGGCTTCTCAAAGTGTTCCATACCAGAGCAAACTATAGCTCTGAACTATTACCTGTGGGCTACTGGCACCCAAATTCTAACTACTAGGCCAGAGTGGCCCTCCCACCCCCCCAAAAGATTGATATTCTATCAACTTACCCACAATAGGACCAGGATTTACTCCATATTTTACAAGCTGATCCAGAAGATCTTCATTAGAGAGCTCAGTTACATCAACATCATCTTTATCTTCTACTCTGGATTTATCAGTTTTCTTTGTGGCTTTCTGTAAATAGAGTCAGGTTATTATCTCCTCCTGAATCAAAGTGTTCATTTACTAAACACACTGTATACTCTGTATACACAATACGAGGCACAAATACACCTACAACTACATAAGTAATTTGTTTAATTTCAAGTATTGAGGGGCTCGAATTCAAGGCCTGTTAAAATTTGAACATACCTAAAGAGGTAATAAAATTCAAAAATTCAAAATCAAGCTGGACACTAGAGGATCATGCTTGTATTCCTAGTTACTCAAAGAAGCTGGGACTGAAACCTGCCCATGCAGACAAATCCAAGAAACTAGAATGTCCAATTAACCCCTGGAAATGGAGTTAAAGCGCCAGCGATGAGAGCAAGGCCTCCAGTTTAACCCTTAGTACTGATATAACAAACAAAATTCAAGATCATATGAAATAAAGCATAACTAATTGATTTTGGGTGGTATTACTTATTTGAGTCTCATGAGGACTTTTCTGACTACGCTGGCTTTAAAACACAATCCTCAGCTTCCTAAGTAGCTAGGATTACAGATGTGAGCCAGCAACGCCCAGCTTAAATCTTAATTAAGCATACTAATTCTTGAAAGAAAAGGAAATTTTGCAAACTGAAGTCAAACCTGGTTTACACATTCTCATCCCAGCCATCATAAACGCAATGTACCCTGGCATACTCTTGAAATTTGAATTAATCCAGGAAAATTTTAAACTCAGCTGGACGCTGGTGGCTCACGTCTATAATCCTAGCTACTCAGAAGGCTGAGTATAACAGTTCAAAGCCAGCCTGGGCAGGAAAATTGGAGAGACTCTTATCTCCAATTAACCACCAGAAAACCAGAAGCGGTGCTATGGCTCAAGTCTGAGAGATTTCATAGTTACTTATCACCTCAGACACAGCTTTATGTGTCAAAGAAAAATTCCAACTTAAGCGATGACAGCATTCATCAGAAAAACTATACATATTCTCTAAGTTAAATATGTGAACTCAACAAAAATGTGGGTGCTTTTTAAAGACTGGGGCAAATAACCTTACAAAGGTCTCAGTAATCCCTGAGAGAAGAGTACAGAACAAACACTAGTTGTTTAAATTAGAAAGTTGTATAAGAATAGTTTACTTTCTTTTTTGGTCGGTTGTGGGGCTTGAACTCTGGGCTTGGGCACTGTCCCTGCGCTCTTCAGCTCAAGGCGAGCGCTCTACCGCTTGAGCCACAGCACCACTTCCAGTTTTCTAGTGGTTTATTGGAAATAAAGAGTCTCATGAACTTTCCTGCCCGGGCTGGCTTTGAACCCTGATCCTCAGATCTCAGCCTCCTGAGTAGCTAGGATTACAGGCATGAGCCACCAGTACCTGGCACTAGTTTGTTTTTAACAAATAAAAATTTGAAACAAGG